CGCTAATGGCCAGGATTACATCAACTTTGTTGATTCTTGGCGCGACGATTACTGGGTCATCGGAATTGTTGAGCAGCCATATCCCCTCCTTGCGCGTGGCCAGTAATTCTACCCTGACCAAATCGCAGCAGAGAATACGGAGGTCATTACGCTTATCAATTGGATGCGTGTCGGTTGAAGGCTGTCACTCGCCGCGATTGATTGTGACCACGATGGCGACTTATGACCGAGCACCAGAAGATAGACAGTGACTGAGGGAAAATAGCACGCTCGTTACTTCTTTGAAAGTAATTGAAGTTGAGTGAAGTTAACAGAAAATGAGGCGTTCGGATGTCCAAATGGGAAATCCTGTTCGGCGGAGGTATATATAGACCGACCGAGGGTGGCAACAGCAGTTTTTAGGATAAATTTGCCATTTTGTGAAAACAATGATGAAAGGAAAGGAAAATTGGTAAAAATGACAATTTAAGGGGGGGGGTTGTTTGTGTGAAAGAGCAGATACAGCGAGGAAGCAGTATTTTTTCATCAGGCTAACGCAAAAATAGTCGAAACCGGCCCATCCTATTGTAGTGGGTATCAAGGAATCGTCATATGGAGTGGAATTAGCGAATGCCACAGGCAGACTCCGAGAATCACTGACTGGGTAGATTTTAACACTGAGTGATTTATGTGGAGCGTAAAAAACTCGGAATGCAACCGCCAACTGGACAACTTAGTAGGACGGGTAATTTCGTGGTTCGTTTATTTCTCACGCCAACCAGCGTTTATTACGAAACTGAGCCATGCGTCCACAACAGTTTATTAGAACCGGATACCAAACTACAGGCCAATGTTCGGACTGCAATCTGAGCGACGTTGCCTAGTGAAGCTGTAAAGGTGGCGCAGATACACAGACGCATGAACCGTCTTATAGGATGTAGTATTTGTCGATGAAAGATTACAGCAGACTCTGAATTGAGGTATGAGCGTAGGTCGCATGTTAAAAGGACAATCTCCTTCACAAAGTTATTCACAGTCCAGGCACACGTTGATGCAAAAAAATGCAACTTCGTTAGGTTGGTAAACTGTTAGAGAGACACAAAGTTTGCCTTATGCGAAAAAATCCATCTCCCCTGTGAGGCAGAGAAGATTGATGAGCCTACCGTTTCCAGTTCGCACCAGGCCTCGGTTCCACCCTGCAGACTTCGCTCCCGGATTATAAAGTTGAGGCTCTGCTTGGTGATCCGGAGGACGCAGTTCTTAGCCAGTCCCGAAATCGTCGCCAATAGGTCTGTATAATAAATAAAATCAGCAACGTGGAACACAGAGGAATTTAATTTTAAAGGGGAAATTAGAAATTAACGTACTTGAAAAGTGGTCAATGCAACTACTGTCATTGGTCCAGACCCGAAATTTCATTTTTGTTTCTCTGGAGAATTGCTGCCTTCACCTAAAAATACGAAGTTTTAAATACTCAGAAGGACGAAATTATCCAAATAAGGAACCGAACACAATGACGGCAGGTGTAAAGATATGCAACCTAAAACCGACACGTTCAGAAAGAGAAGTAACGACTAGACTAGAGACACTGGGCACACCTATTTAATAATAAATGTCTCCAAAAACCAAAAAAACGTAGTTCCCTACTTCATGAAAAACGGGTAAATTTTATTTTGACTGAGAAAACTAACAGCAAGCGCCGATTTAAAGATTAACGGACACCTACAGAGACTGAAGTAATTTCATGCTGAATATCAAAGAAGTGGGCGAGGCCGGTAGAAGTAATGTGGGAAAACCAGTAAGCAAGTCCATACGAAGATGCGTGGGCGCAGGATCACAGTTAGACAAAAGGAAATAATATCCCTAATTTCTGGTCACTCATTCTCTTCAGGGCAAAACCTTGATGTCAGCTGTACGTAATGGAATGCCATGGAATGGAAAACATGAAGTTGGGTACAGCTAGCTGATGACGGCTAAGAAGATAGAAATTGCCCCCTATATTTGTCGGGATTGCTTCCAGAATCTGATGACTCCTGAACTGGTATCTAAATTCTCTGACCTTATTGGCGTTTTTTTACATGTATTACATTGTTTACGAAGGCAAAACAAGACTAACGCCAGTAGAGTGATATGCGGAGAGCGCGGAGGTTGGGGATTTGTCAAAGAAAGCGACCAGACACTCGTTTTTTAGCAGCCAAAGCACATAAGAGGGTTCCTCTTATGTGCACACTTAAGAGGGTGGTTCAGTTAAGACGATGATATTCTCAGATACCTGAGTAACCACCGCAAACCACCTTCAAACAGAGGTTTTCAAAGCAAAAGCAGTTGGGTCCATAAAAGAATAACTAACCTACTGATTAAATCTGTCTTACTTAAGTAGCTCGCGCCTCTTAGAAGGAATAACACAGTTACACTTAATCATATGAACTCCGACAAGAAAATAGCACTGGCTAGTACGAATTATCCGCCTGGCCGAAGTGTTAACAGGTCAGTACTATCGGGCCCATTCATGGAAAGACAAAAGGCTGTGGTGACTCATCCCGTGTAGACGCTCACGCGCGAAGGCTCACCGATGCTAACGAGTGCACGTGCGCTGACATCGGCCTCTGGGACAGCCAATCACATGTGCGTCTGTCTACTCCGGTCTGGCCAATCACCTTTCAAGGTTGACTCACAACTGGGCAGACTGCGCCAGGCCCGAAGTTCGGACACTGTCCGGCTCCAGTTCAGACCTACGCTCGTCCGACAGTCAACCTTCTATCTATTCCCCATTCCTTCGGTCCAGAATAAACTTTTCCTTCCCCCTTTCGTCTCACCTTTTCTCTTGCTACAAGGAACCGGGCCTGAAGATCGCAGCTGCTAGGGTTTTCCTTATTAACTTAACCACCTGCGATAAGGATAGAAAAGGGCATTCGGCGGCCAATTTATTCCTCGGAAAGAACATTTTTTCCATGTGCACATACTAAGATCCGAGTGGATCTTTAAAAAACAGTGACAGCATAGGGGAGAAAATAAGACGCGAGAATGATCTTCTGAATCCACACATTTCCCATGAGACAGATACGAGAGAACTCATGTATTTTCATACAATTCACAACAGGCCACGGCAAGTACAGTAAAACAATGATCTGCGGGTTGGATAAGTACGTCGGGGAAGGGGGGGTTGCGACGATTGATAGGGATGAAAGGCAATAGCAGTCAAAAATGATGTGGACAAAAATGATGACAGGATTTCGTGGTTTGGGAGGAACGTTGAAATACGATTAATTTGGGTTTGGTTAAGAAAACTGCAGGGTATGGATATTTTGCCAGCAAGAATGGGACCTGTTTGCATAATACGATTGAAGTTAGGAGGCGACTAGGGAGAAGCCTGACGATATTCGGTGAACCGGCCCGAGACTTCTTGGAGGTCAACAAAACCAGGTGTTTCATTCAGAGCTGGGTAACAAACCCGATAGTACAAATGCCGCACTGTTATTCAAGTAACTTTACAGCAGTAGGCGTCAGCATATTGATCAATTTATGAAAAAACCTCCGATACCACCGGAATCCCTGGGGCAACTTTACTCGATATTTACGATCGCAACTAGAGTCACGTTCACTCAAAAGACTTCCAAATCAACTTCCTAAAGATAGCTAAAGATCCACTAGGCTGAACTACCTCAACAATGAAATAGGATACGCGCAAGCATGAAGTACTGCTCTCAAAGGCGATATAGTTGCAAGAATGCAAATCGATTCCTTGTTTACAGACAGGTACGCGTATGGCCGGCCGACGACGGCTAGTAAGTCAGAAATGGCCATTCCAATGTTCCTTGTCATGGCCGGCAGGGTTTTCCTATCTATAATGTGGAGAATTTTCAATGGGGAAAACGACGGGCCTAATTGCATACGTGCACAAACGAACGTCTGGCCCAGCAATAATAATCAGGCAAAATTTACAGAGTGGGGCCAGTTCAGAAACACCGAGACATAGGAGGGCGCACGCACGTGTCCGGTCAAACAGCCAGTTGCTATGCGTATGCGATTTGCAGTGCGAGGTACACGGCTGATTACCAGGGCACCGATCGCTGTGCGTAGATTACAACACGCTGCAATAAACAAACGATGAGGGCCAACTAGCGCGTAGATTGTCTGTCACTTAGGACGGGGGTCAAAAAGCACGCGACGAGCAGTACGCGTCAACCTACCGTAGTGATTGCCTAGGCTTCCTGAATAAATGAACTACCAAAAGGTACTATGCGAGGCATGGGTACAGAAAAGTGGTCTGGATTCGACCGGATGCGTCTCCAATCCCTCGGCTAATATGCAAATGGCAAGGTAAGGCTGCCACTGGACAAGAAGAAAGTACTTAGTACGATCTCAAGTAACATGCTGCTCCAAACAATTTTAAGACTACCCTTTAGAGAGGCAAAAATTCGAAGCAGTTTACGATCAACTAGAGAAACCGAACATTAAGCCTTTTACACGGGCAAACCTAGAAGCCCAGAGACAACAGAAGTTACAGGGTGGTCAAATTGCAAGCAACCCGCGAAGCTTCTAGGTATCCGACAGCGAGACGAACTTCAACAAAAATCAGCTGATAAATGACACGGGGTGCTTCGCTAGGAGAAATAAGCTCTAATTTACCATATAGCAGAAGTATATTCAGGCATGGTTGAAGACTGACCGGCCATGTCAGTCCCCTGACAGTTCGACCGTCCATGCCACTGTGTACTCCACAGCGTGGTGGTGCGTGGATTACTTTAAAGTGATAGTAGTCTTGCACTGCATCTACCACATTCATTGTTTTCTCCCCCATCTCTGTCCAGATAGAGTGAAGAAGA